TATAATAATTTTATATTTATTCATATAAAAATATTAAAGAGACGAAACTTTTGACGAAATTACAATTTTTCAAAAAGAGTTTAGTCAGGTATTACTAAATTAAACAATTCATTTATCATTTGATAGAATAACATTTTGAATTATTCCAATTGAACAATTCATTTATCGTTCGATGAAATGATATTTGGATCGTTTCAATCAAATGAAACATTTATTATTCAATGAAATGATATTTTGGATTGTTCTAATTGAACAATTTATTTTATCATTTGATAGAATGATATTTTGGATCATTCCAATTAAACAATTCATTTATCGTTCAATAGAATGATGTTTGATCGTTCTAATTGAACAATTTATTTATCATTCGATAGAATAACATTTTAGATCATTCTGATCGAACGATTCATTTATCATTTGATGGAATGATATTTTGAATCATTCCAATTAAATAATTCATTTATTATTCAATAAAATGATATTTTGGATTATTTCAATTAAACGATTTATTTATCATTTGATGAAATGACATTTTGGATTATTCCAATCAAATCATTCATTTATCATTTGATTAAACAATACTTAAATCATTTGATAGAATAATATTTTGATTATTCTATCAAATAATACTTAAATCATTCAATTAAAATGATATTTATGATTGTTCTATCAAACGATGCTTAAATCATTTGAATAGAATGATATTTTTCTAATCAAATAAATGTTGCAACCAATCAACAAATTAATACATATTACAACAAATAAATAAATTTTTTCAAATGTTGCAACTATGTTGCAACATATGTTATAACAATGATATGTTACAATATATTTATAAAGGCTATTATCTTTAAATATAATCTTATAATTATTGTGATAAATTCTTTTTTAGTTAATATAGAATTAAAAAATCATTAGTTTAATAATTAAAATATCTAAAGTGTTAATAAAAAAAAAATAATTGTTGAACTTTATAATTATTAAATTAAATTGATTGATAAATATATAGTTTAAACTTTACAATTATCAAGTTAATCAAATAAGTATTTATTTATCATATTGTAAATTATATCATTATATAAAACAAAAAATTTTATTGTTTATTTTTAGCTTTTTGAAATAATTACTTATATGTTACATTATTAGTAGCTTAAATTAATTATTAGTATTTTTAAAATTATTGAAATTGATATTGATTATATGATAATGATCAATTTTTAAGTTAATCATACTTATTTGTTTAACTTTATATAATAAAAACTTTAATTTTTAACTAAGCTACCATAAATTTTTTTTATATTTAAATAAATATAAACTTTATTTATAATATATGTTATTTATAAGAAGTTTTATTAAAAAATCAATATACAGTATATTTACAGTAACTTAAAATTTTGAAATCACAACATTTTTTCAAGGAATCACAGAAAATCACAAAAAAACACATAAAGGAATCACGGTTGAGTTACTATTGTAAAATTTATTCTTTGACTCATGAAAAATAATAATATTTGAAATGTAGTGTAGTAAGTATATTTATATTATAATAGGTTTTCTTAAAAAAAATCTGAATTATTAAAAATTAGTATTCCAACTATTATAAGAGTAATAAAATGAAAATCTAATGAATAATGAAAAGGAAGATAAAATTATGGATATTGAAATAAAAGGCAATATAAAATAAGGAGTTGAAGATGAATCTAAATTAAAGAATCTATAGATGAATACATAAAAATCTCATTTAAAATTAGTAATTAAGAGAAAGAGTACAAATAATGTAATAAAATGAAAAACTATTTATCAAACTAATGAGTGCTTGGGCTGCATCAATTGTAAATTTCATTTTACATAATATTTTATGATAATATTTGCATAAAGTTCATAATAATATTTATAAATAATTTTAATTAATTATAATTTTATTTTTATTTTTTAGAAATATAGGCTTTGTTAATCTTCCTAATTATTCCTTTATCAATTTTATCTAAATATTAATCAGAATGTATTTATTATATTTTAATAAATATAATATGCAAAATAATATATAAATTAAAAAATTTTATCTTTATATCAGATCCATTAAAAATCTTTCTTTTATCAGCTTATTCTTTCAATAAGTTTATAATTCTACTTATTATTTCTTTTATTTTATCTACTTTATCATCATTATTGTTCTCATCATCATTATCATTTTCATCAACATTATTGTCATCATTATTATTTTTTTCTCTAGAATTTTCAGTTGAATGATTAGAACTATTTAACCTTGATTCTTAATTTGATTTGGTATTAGATTTGTAAGTTTTTAGTAGATTAGTTGAAATGGTCTTTGTTTTTGAGATTTTTTTTAACCTTATCATCAAGTTATGACATGTTGAACATAAACTATATTTAAATTTTGAGAAAAATCTATTTCATATAAATAAATTCTATTAGCTTCACTTAATTCAAACAGTTGTAACTCATTATAAATCTTGTTAGCTTTTTCTTTTTTTTTGTATTTCTTATTTATTTACTCAAATCATTAACAGTGTTTAAAAATAATTTATTATAATTCAAACATATTTGACACAAAAAACAAGTGTAATTTGTTATATGGTAGGTAGTGATCGGCTAATCATTTATCACGTGCTTTTTGTGTGTTGTGTATCTTACCACAAGATTTTTCACTCCACGTGATTTAACGATATTTGTCATCCCATGTTACACCCTCCACTTTTCCATTTTTATTAAGTATTCGGTTTTTTTTCGGAATAAAATCATATTTGTCACGCCTTATTTGTCACATGGTTAATAACGCCAAATTTCCTGGTTATACGAAATTATTTGATGATCGACCAATTTTAATCAAGGAAACAAGGAAACAAAATTGACAAAAGATTAACGAACATACAGTATATTATTACATATCAATTAAAATTTATGTTGATTAGAATACCGCAATGTATCTGAAGTGTTAATTAAATACCATTGTCATCATTATCATCGTAATTTTCATTTTCTGTACGATGATTATAGTCTCGATGATGTAATCAGTTCCAATAATGAACTCTTTAAACTGTCATCTTTTATTATTGATTTTTTAGAAATTCTATTAACGTTCAATAAAATTCCAAAAAATAAATTTTAAGGTTTTCTTCCCAAATAAGATAAATATCATTGTTCTCAAAATGTATTTATCTCTGTATTATAAATGACAGGGTATAATCATTATATCCGATGGCGTTATTTTTATGACTGATATTTTTGATGTATTAGTATTTTTCACTATTATCCATTTTGGTTTAATCCTTGTCGATCACACAGAACAGACAGAACAGATGTATTTAATAAATTAAAATTGGCGACAGGAGATTTTTTTCGATTGGTGGAATATGTTTTATATGATCGTTTTCTTGTTGAACAGAAACGTTTTTTTTGCATTTTTTAACTGTTTTGCAATGACAAATTTCAAGGCGCAATCATTGTCACCTTTCGGACCGAATAGGACCGAAGAACTGAAAGACCATCTTTTCTTAATAAACTATTTTGCGTATTTAGACATAAATTAAAAAAAAAGATTCCCTGCACGTCATGTTACATAGAGAAATATCATTCACCGCGGAATCTTAAGATTAGTTATAGAGTACGAATTTGAAACTCCGGAAAATTTAAATACATTTGTTTGTTTGTTATTTTTTTACACATAAATCTGACAAATAAATAAAAAATTTTTTTTGATTTTATATTTTGAAATGTCAATATAAATAAAAATTTCTTAAAATTTTTTCTAAATAAAAAAAAAATTTCATCTTGGAATTAAGGTAAGCAAATCATTGGTGACTTTTTGGATGAAAATTTAGCAGTTTTCTTATCTTGGAATTAAGGTAAGCAAATTGTTTATGACTTTTTGGATGAAAATTTTAATTTATTTATTTATACCATGCGAAAAAAGTGAAATGTTTGTTCGTTTTGAAATCTTTGAACCGCAGTGAAAAATTTCTTGTGTTACCGCTTTTGATATTATCACAGTATACAAACTTTCTTGTGTTATATAATTAAGTTGATGAAAATTGCCACATATGGATTAGTCATATGGGATACATTTTCATATCACTACAACAGGTAAAACCTCTTTATAATCACGCCACTGTTTTACTGCGGTGATTTTTCAGGTGAAACAATGATACATATGACGGAGTTATGCATTTTACGCCAATTTGAAGTTACACTAAACTTGAACTGAGTCAGCTCTGAGTAATGAGTAACTATTTAAGTTTAAGCTAATCTTCATTCAAAGGATTACTATTATTATACATTCAAATAGATTTACCATTCATGGTATAAAGTATATTATATATATTTATTTTTTCTTTGGTAATTTTTAAATTGGAAATCCTTATTTTTAAAAAGTGTTGGTGTTGGAGGATGGGCTGAAAACTTTTTTTAATGCAAAACTTTAAACAGGTATTTAAGTATTAAGATACTCATCAAATCGTACTTTATAAAAACAATTAAATTATCTAGCAAAAAATTCGTTTAGATCGATACTTACGTGTTAAAAAATACCGAAGTCAATATTTAATACATATCAAATGATTTTATTTTCCACTCAAATTATCACAATCGATGCAATATTTTCTTTATTAAACACAGTAAGTTACAGTAGTCAATCAATTCCAATCTCCCATCTTATTGTATATAAATCATATAAATCATAGATAAATGTACTGTACAAAAAAAAAAATTTCGAAAATGCATATTCGCTTGCTTTCATTTCAATTTCTGAACCTTGTGGGCGCAATATTATGTTACTCAAAATACATTAAATTGTGTTATTTATGTTGTAGTTATTAAGGAGTTAAGCCTTAAATATATGCAAGTGTATTGACTAAAAGCGAATTCGATAAAAAAAATTTCTTTATAAAAGTGCTCCGAAAATCCTCATCAAAGGAAGAAAAATATATTTTTCAATTATTAATTATTAACATTTGTAATTCGCAAATTCATTACACAATCAAATGGCAAATAGTAATAATCCTTTACAAACTGATCATTTTAATTTTAATGAAAATAATTATTTTGGTAATTTGATTCCGGAAACTAATTTCCAAGGGGAACCTACTGCAAACATTAATGACGGCTACAACAATAGCCTTCCCACGATGAACGATAATTCGATGTTTTACGGGAGTGCGGTCTCGCATCATCAACAACAAATGGCCGGCTCTAATTCTTCAATTCAATTAATCCCTCCGTCATATGGCTCACGTTATATTGGTCATGCTAATTCTGGCGAAGAACAAAATCCCCCGATGTCCATGTCCACTAATAATATCTCTTTGAACGTCATGGCTACCAATCTACCACCCCAATCAAATTCTGGAATTTTCAGATTTGAAATTCCTGGTTTCAGAATTATCGTCATTCCGATTGAAAATATAAATGTACAAGAAGAGCAAAGTTATTTAAATAATTCTTCCCCAAACATTAATACAAATAATCCTCAATCTCAATTTCAACAAGCTTTTCATAATTTAATGTAAATCATTTTTTTTATATTTATAAATTTTAAATATATTTTTGATTCCGTTGAAACTAAAAGATCTAGGATACTAAAATTTTCTTGCTGTATAACATGTATAGCATGTATTTATATTTATATAATAAAAGATTGTTTATTCATTTAACTGCCAATCAATATCAAATCGAATCCTATGGTAACTTTATACCATAAATTCGGAATGAGTTATATTACATTGTAATTAACGTTAAGTTAAAAACATTGCGCCAGATTTTTTAATCACAATTATAATGTATAACTAGCACTCCGAAGGGTAAGGTCAAGTCTGGTTTAAGAGAAACTCCGAGAGTGTAAATGAACTGATATAAATATTTGGGTCGGCATTTACATAACCCGAACCCGACCCGACTATACTTTAAGCCTAGTTTTACGGATAATAGTAATGCCGAGAAACGAATTTCGAAATATTCTACCGGGTGTTTTTAAAATTTATTATATAAATATTTAACTAATTTCAAAAATACTTGCGGACAGTAAGACATTTTACTTCTCGATGAGTTTTAGCACTTTTATATATCAATGGAAGATCATTTTCTTCAAAAAATTCATTTGTAAAAGATTTACTACGTAAAAGTTTTTGTTTTCGAGTAGTTTCACTTCCAGAGGTAAGGTCAATAGTTTCGCTCATTGTTTAATTCTTTCTAATTAAAGTAGTGTAATATAAAACAAAAAAATAAGTTTAAATTTCTCGTGTAGTACAAATTATAACCTGCGCCCAAGTAAAATTTGTATTTTTACTTGTCTACGATCATTAAGTGAAAGCTAATTAAACAGAATATCTCATAAAATTTTCGATTGCGTAAAATTAATAAATGAAGAAAAATTCTTAATGCCCCTAGTTATTTTCTCTATATAATTTTTTATTTAAATTAAATCACGTGAATTTCTAGTTGCTGATGTCAAATATAGTGGATAACTGCTGCGATGATATTAATATATTTTATATGGGAATAGCAAGTTTCATTCTTATTTCTTTGAAATTATAATATTTATTGTCCAAAGTGTATGCAGGATACTTCCATGTTCCGTGTAACTTCCTAACACCCGTTTCACTGATTTTTAAATATTTAGTAAATCATAGATTCAATATTCCGAATCATAGATGGAAAAAATCCAAAATGTTATTGTAAAGGAATCGAATTTTTAATCCACGTCTCTATATTTTAATTTTAATTTGCTCTCAATGAACCTTTTCTCAAATTTAATCAGTTAATATTTTAAAAATTTATTTGAAAATAAAACTAATCTCCCATTTGACCATAATAACTGTTATAAATTATAATATTAACAATATCCAAATATTCATACGTAAGGAAAAGATATCAAGAAATAAAATTACATATGGCTCTCTTGTAAAGAACCATCAACCTGGATGCATAATTTATGATTTGACTGTTATTCATGTCTTGATATCCGGTAGATCCATTTTGTTGTCTCTATACAAATCCCTATGACATTAAATGAAATTATCTTTTAGCATAAGTTGATAAATTCTTCCATGATTAAATCTTATTAAATATTACCATTCTCTCACAGATATTAGTATATTTGGTGATGTAACCGGAATGCCATAGCTTTCAAGTGTTGATCCTAAAAAAATCCATGATATCAAAAATAATTCCATTGATTGCGCAAGAACATAAGATTCTTTAAAATATGTTTAACAAAATTGGTTTCATAAAATGATAAAAAAAATTACGATCGAATTAGCCGCACCAACGCATTGTCCAATTTTCATAAGAACGTTTCAAGTATAGCGCAATCCTCATTAAGAATCGCTAAGAATAATAGCGTCAACATCAACGACTAATTTTCTTAAACTTTTTCTAAATAGAAATTAAAAGCTATTAAACTTTATAAGATGAACTTTTTCTCCATCATAGTCAACATCAATTTGCAAACCAAGGAAATGACCTAAACGATACGCGGCATCTTCATGTTCACATAAATTTCGTCAGAGATTATATTAATATAAAATGTTAAAAAGCATACCTGATTGAATACCCGTAATTAAGTATAAAGATCTTGCAACATTCAAATCCACAGTACTACCATCACCAAAAGAAATGCACCAATATTTTCATCTGTTTTAAAAAAGAATAATATAATAATTAATAATATTGCCTAACGAGATTAATGATGAATAGATATTTAGAAAGAACAGATCTTAAGCGAAATCTTTCCAATATAAAGAAAAGGAAGGACAAAGACTGCATATGATTATAATTAGTAATTAATATGAAATCCATACTATTCTGTTCGATGCTATTAATTCTCGGCGTTTTCACCAGAAATTTACGAACTCCGCTCCTACCATCATCACCGGATAATCTACTAAATGACTAAATTTATAATGTTTACAGTCAAATTCTTTATTTTCTGATGGTATGAATTTAATGATATAACTTGCAAGAAGTATCCTCATCGGAAATCATAATTGTTAAACCTAATATCACGAGAAGGGAAATCTAAAATTAATAAATACCAGATGTGTCTTTGCTCAAGCTGTCCATACCTGATTTCGTTCTAACCAATCATTCTAGACTAGCTGCTTCTTCCAAACGTACCATTTCAACGAAATATTAATATTTAGCAAGGTTTGTAATACCCGTTGCTTTGATTCAGCTTCTTTAAAGACAGACAAAGATTAGAAGAAATTGTTCTTTATTGAATGCATAAACTTTCAATTCCATATAACAGTAATAAAATAAAAAAAAAGGAGTGAAAATCGGAGCTATTTATACAATATTAGTTGTATTAGTTGTGCTACCTAAGTATGAGATTGGTTAGACAAACAATTTGATGCATGATTTCACGTGAACTTTATTCAAAACAACAAAATATTTCGCTATGATACAATTTTTGATCGGTTAAAGATACGATGTTGTGTTGGTAAGACTTTTGTGTAAAATCAATCCTACATGTCACAAATTAATTTAGTCGCTGAATTTTATTAAAATAAAATTAGACTTTTTTAATTATATCCTGATAATGACATATGCAAATTCAAATTTCTATGCGGCGCCCCAAGTATAATGTATAAATGAAATTCCATATTCCTATAAAATATATTGGGTATTAATTATACCTGAATACGAATATATACGAGTCTTATTATATTAGGATTGTGTAAAACATGTGTTCCCGGGACGATTAATAGGATAAGTTTGGCTTTACATTTCTTATCATAAAAATATAATATTAGAAATATTAATAATGAAATGATGAAAAAGGTTACACCTAAAATTGTGGGTATTGATAAAGAACATTTGGCATTGCTCAAGAGATATTCATTCCTTTAATCTCTTCATTATA